TCTGCTCATAGGTGGTAGCCTCTCATCTTCTCCTGCAATACAAATGTCCGATTAAAAAAATAATATTTAGTTTTCACAGAATGTGGGACTTAAGATGAGGTGGAGGCAGGAGTGAAGCAGCAGAAACAAACAAGAATAAGGAAAAGAATGTTACTAAAATAAAAGTAAACAAGCAAACAAAGGAATGAAAATTGCATAGACGTTAGAACAATACTTGCGAAAATCCAAAATGGTGGCCCAGGACACAATCAAAACCCTGGAACATTTTGTGGTATTCAGAGTGTGACACATATAAAAAAGTGTGCAGGAATTGATTGTGAGATCTCGACTACCATCTTGAATGTCATGATTTTGCACACTTCACAAACAATGTGGAAGAAATGCTTTGGACCTCACATGGATTTAATGCCCTCTGATGTTATTTTCTCCATCTTGTCTTCAGATTTTCTGTGAGTCTGAGGGAAAATGCCACTATTTCAAGATGTTAATCCAAGTCTTCAAGTGGCACCATCTTTTTTGGGGGGGTGGGGGTGGGAAAGCAATTTGTTGTGATTACCATTTGTGGAAACCATTTTGAAAGAAATAGAGACATCTCATTTTTCTGCCTTGGTTGCTATGCGGTTACTCCTCAGGAGTGGAATTTTCCCTTAAGTTTTGACAACCAATCAATTATTCCTATTTAATCCCAAAGAGATTCTTGGAATTAAACTGAGTCTTTCTTGGCATCACAAAAAGTGAGCTTAAAACAATAGAGGTGGAAATGGTTCAACAAGATGGATAACAGTAGCTTACAGTCTTTTTCCACTGCACCTCTTAATATGCATTTTCTAATAACAATCATTTTTATGCCATCTTGTTTATATTTGCAAGCAATTTTCTTAATATAACGCATGATGGGTTTACTATTGTATGTTTTTCTGATCAGTTCCTCTAATACCACCGTGATGTACATTTTCAACTAGAAATTTGCATCACAGACATATGAAATTTGGAGGATAACCAAGTGTTTGTTCTTATCTTGTTTTTTTTAAAAACTCAATATTAGGTAATTGCACATTTTCTTTTCATACAGTAAATATTCTTCCAATGAAAGGAAACAATTTTGCTTTGGAAAATAGTGTCATTTCTCAATGTCGGATAATGTTGGTTCTCTGCTTTGTGTTTCACACAAAAGCTCTCCAATATTTTGGGTCATTTTTAATCATGGCTTATAGAAATATAAATTATAGATTTATTTTTCACTTCTATGAGATGGAATCCAAAATCTCATCTCTATGTCTGGATTTCATGCTAACAAAGTGTTCTAAAAATACTTTTTCAAAAGCCAACAATTGGACTTTGTTTCTTTCCCTGAAGACGTTTTGCTTCTCATCCAAGAAGCTTCTTCAATGAGAAGTGAAGAAGCTTCTTGGATGAGAAGTGAGATGTCTTCAAGGAAAAAAGCAAAGTCCAGTTGCCTCTTGAAAAAACATCTTTGAGACAATCATGACATGGGTAGTTGAGAATCTCCATAGACATGCTAACAGAATCAAGTTGCGTTGGATTTGAACAATTGCCATGTCATTTAAATGTGGTTATAAGGGTTGGACTTTCCATGTAGTTGGAATGAGTAAATAAATCAATAGCACCTAAATAATTTGCTGGCAGATAAACATTATATTTACTTCAGAAATTCACTGAAGGGTCTTGGCACCAGGTCTTATGCTAATAAAGTAGGTATTAAGCAGCAGGCTTTCGGAAAATATAGGTTGCTTGGATTTCTTTCTCTTTTTCCCATTAGGAAATATTTGGCACAGCTTTCCTGCTTTCCATTGCACATTTTGGATCTCATTCTATACCATACGGCATATTAAACACAATAAAGATGCTCACTTAGCAGAAATGACTTTCCGAAGAACCATATAGATATCAATAAATGAATACTTTGCTTGCACAGAAATAGTACTGTTGTGGTTCGCCAGCAGCCAGTGCAGGGATGGGGCCAGGACTATCTGAGAGTGGGATGCTGCCTTCGGGGCTTTCGGAGTCTGGCAGTTGCGAGGCAGAGGAACAAAGGGAGTCTGTTCCCAGTGCGTGTGCGCGCAGAGCTGCTAAAGGAGAGGGCAGCTGAAGCAGAAGAGGCAACTCGGGAGTAAGGCTGGGAGGTGATTGCCCCTCCCCTAAGGGATAAAAGTCAGCGCTCAATGACAAAGAGCTTTGCAGGAAGCAAAGCAGTTCAGTAATTCTCCAAGTCCCTCGTGAAGCTCTGTACTCCGGTCAGTTTTTTTCTTGGTTTTTGAGTTGGTTGATGTTAGCTTTAATCGGACTTCTGTTTCTTGGCAGCATTCCACAGCACTGAGAAGCTTGCTCTTATCTGGAGGGACTGTGTATCATGAGTTTTGGTGGGAATGCAAGTAATTCCCAGCGTCGCATTAAAAAAGGTTTTACTTTTAAGTTTGTGTTTGTGTTTTATTAAGTTTGACGAAACCTGGGTCAAAACAAATACCTTTTGGATCAAAATTAGTTCTGTTTTTAGAATCTGGCTACAGCTGGGGGATAACTGTGCGTGTGAACTGAATTTTCAGCAAGGAGAATCAATATTGCAGTAAAGAGCCCCATTATCCATACTATATTTAATGTTTGATTAGGATTTGTGGCTCATTATGTACTCCATAATAATGAATGGATCTCTTAAGTACTTTTGAAGAACATGAATATTAAAGGTTCCATCCTTGTCAACACCCAAAAGTTCAGATGTAGATTTATGGCCAGTTTCACTTAAATTAATTTTATTCTATTTTAGTAAGGTCGCAGGCCAAAAGTTTGATCACCTTCTCTTGAATCTTCAGATTTGATTACAATCTTTCTCTTCTTCCTCAGTTTTCATTGGTATTGCCTTAAGAGTAGCAACCTTTCTCCAACAGTATGAGCTTTACCGATAGAAGACAATATTTGTAGCTCAGAGTTGAATTTATGGGGTCCTCGCTGTTCTCTAAGCTTGGTTGTTTTCTTGCAGACATTTCATTACCAAACTAGATAACATCATCTGTGCTAGAAGGGAATGGGCACTTAAGAAATATGATGTATAAATAAATAAAAATTCAATTTGCACACCCCACTCTCTCCTAGTACTGATGATGTTACCTAGCTTGATAATGAAACATCTGCAGGAAAACAACCAAGCTCAGAGAGCACCAAGGATGAGATTTTTGTGTCAACATCACAAGTTAAGTGTCATCTTGCTTGCTTAAGACTCTGAGAACCATACTCCCCTGCCCACCTGAATCTATACAATCTTCTCAGGGGGCTTGAAAGATGCAAATTTCCTGGGACATCTTGGGCTGTCTCAGAAGGTTGAAGTCCTAGAGGACAAGAACATGAGAAATAGGTTGGAGTTTCTTAATGGATTGTGCGATGGAGTTTGCTATCAAAATATGGTGTTGCTCTGCATTCATTCGAAAGATGGATCTATTCAGCTAAAATTCCTGAATAGCCTTGTCTATGGAGATTCTCAGTCCTCCAGGTCATGGTTGTCTCAAAGATGTTTTTTCAAGAAGCAACTGGACTTTCTGGTTATTGGTTTTACACAGGGATCTTTCCATCATGCCCAAAGGTGCCAAGGTCTCAGCAAATCCTCTATTAGAGAATCCTTGATTTCCATATGGGTGTTATGCACATAAGTTGTGTTTTCATAAATTCTGCATCTATGAGTGCTGGAAATTCAACCGCCCATCGGAGATGGTTCTCGAAGCTGTAGATGTGATCAGCTTTCCATAAAGAAAAGCCCTTGTTGAACATAATTACAGTAGTCTGCACAATAACAATTATTACACTGCTGAAGTGTGGAAATTCATATATTTAGTGAGGTGCTTTCATTGTGAAACCAATCATCCTACAGTAATTTCCATCAAACCAACAGAATTGGTTCTTTAATATGAAGCAAAATTGTTATCCCAAACTGCTTTTGTTAGCCTTAAGGATTTTAGATGGCCAGGCCAGGCTCCAAACCAATTATTCCATAATTATTTACTGAAAACATTTTGTTCAAGCCTGCTGTTTCTCGCCTTATAAACCTGGAGTAACTACTCTCACAGTAGTTGCTATAATTCAAGTATGTTTAATCAAGTTTCTGTTAATGTTTTGGTGAATAAATTTCAATCTGTATGCAGGCTGAAGGATGCCTTTTATTTTGTCTTTATCAGGTGCACAATAGCTCTTAGGCACTTAAGGTGGGATGAATTCATATATTGCATAAGGCCATAAAGCACTGTCTTTTGTTCTGGAGTGGAGGTAATAATGTGTGAACCTAACCATCAGGCCTTTCTTTCTGAATAACCAATTGACATTGGAACATGTTTTGTGACATTTTTGTTAAACGATAAAAGGTTCTATAGTTTGAAAACAAGATTGTGATGGATATGCAGAACTGAGTTGGATAGACAGAGAATAATATTGAATATTGGATTATATATTAGTGTGAGACCAACCATTATGGTTTGCAAACCGTGATTTACAATTTAGCATGTTATATAGTGGGAGTTGGTTGGAGAGCTGCTGACACATTGAGAAGATAAGGTCGGGATTCTGAAAATTTTTGATAGGCTTGAATGCTTGGACTTTTTCAACAAAATGTTGTTCAATCTTCCTTCTTTCCTCCCTCCCTCCCACCTTTTCCCCCTTCCATTCTACCTTCCTCCCTTCTTTTCCCTTTAGTTTCTCCTTCCTTCCTTCCTTCCTTCCTTCCTTCCTTCCTTCCTTCCTTCC